AATTAAAAAAAAAAATATTTTAAACAGTCCTCAAAACACGGAAAATGAATGTTTCAACAAACAATTAGGCAGAAAGGTGAGAACAGAAAGGAGTTCAATACTAACCAGAATGTTATAAATAAATAGATCACAAAATGAAAACTGCAAAATCAATCCCAATACATGTATATTATTTTTCCTTTTATCACTTAACAAAGAATCTTTGAGAAACTTAACAAAACTGAAGCTGAAAATATTTTTTATGTACCAATGATATCTTTCAGTGTCCTTGCCAGCTTCCTAAGGCTTTACAAAAATTTCCTGTAAATACAGCTCTGCTCCCCCCTCCATCCCCCCTCCATCCTCACTCACCCATCTTCCCCTCCTCTTCAGTTTAGTTTTCCTGAGTGTTTTACCGCACTTGCAACACATAGGTCATGCCAGCCACCTAAGGGTTTTCAAAATTTCGAGCTAATACAGCTCTGGGTGAACTTGTAGTTCCGTTCGTTAAAGTCCTCGATCCATTTCTTTACATCCAGAGAAGAAATCCAGAAATCTTGATGACCAAATACCATTTGAAATAGGCTACACAAAGAGCAGGGATGCAACCTAGCTGCAAAACATCGGATTAGGATAAAATTCAGGGGGGAATGCCCCCCTGAACCCCTCCACATCCATATTTTTATTAGGTCAGGGGAACCCCCCTACTCTTGGCTTTAACGAACGAAACTACAAAATCACCCAGCTCTGCCCCCCCCCCCCCTCCCCCCTTCAACCATCACCATCAACCCCATCTGCCACACAAAATAACTCACATTTGACAGGTCGACAACCTCCGTAACATCTGAGGGACCAAACTGTCCAGCATACAGGTCACCAAACTTTGTTCCCAGAGCAGAAGGGTTCAGACCCGAAGTGTACGGAACGTAGCTTCCTTCGAAAGGTGCCAGGTCAAAGGTCAGGGGCGGTTCATCTGTGCCCTGGGGTCGTGCTTCGTCCGCTGCCAACCCGAGGATGGTGAAGATGACAGGAAGTAAGAGCTGTACCAAGGTCACGACCCGATTCCGCCAGGTGTGAATTGCTTTTTTCACGAATAAGCCGCGCATGCGAGACATCTCCAAGGCCATCCCTGTTCTTTTTTTGAAGCCTTTGTTGAAAGCTGGGGGAATGATATGGAGATATATATTATGTAAAAGGATATTTTTTGTTTTCTGATCGGTAAAACTAGGGAGGGAGGGAGAGAGGGAGAGAGGGAGGGAGGGAGAGAGAGAGAGAGAGAGGGAGAGAGAGGGAAAGGGAGAGAGAGAGAGAGAGAGAGAGAGAGAG